ACATAAAAAATGATAAATGCTGAGCAGGGGACTGCCAGTGGAAATATAAATTCAGTATAGACCCTATGAAAATCAGCATGGAGGCTCCTCAAAAAATCACAAGTAGAACTACCTTATGACTAGATATACCATCCTTGTATACACCCACAGGAGTTAAAGTCAGTTTGTGAAGTATGTGATAAAAAATATGTTGAATGTTTAAAGTTTTAAAAGTTTATCACAGTAAAAGATATACTGCCATTGATCTCTCTTAAAATAACCCCCTCATTTGAACACAATTATCTCATTATTTTTTCCATTTTCAGAACAGTTCTGGAAGTCCTCTTTCATGCCTTTAGTTGTACCATTGTGGCTGCCTTGGTGTCTTAAATTGATTCAAAAATGTTTACCTTTAATGGCAACTGACTTTGAGGAAAAGGCAGAAGTCACACGGTGCCAGATCCAGTGAATAAGGTGGATGAGGACTCACAGTAGTATTTTCACAAAAGCTTACCTTTTCGTTAGGTGGCACTCAGTAGCAGCATTCACCATATGTCTGAGCACACTTCATGAAGACATTTACTAAAGAGAACTTCCAGAACTGCTTCAGATTGTGGCAAGAATAATGGGATAAACATGCTCAAAGCGAGGGGGAGTACTTTAAATTGCATTAACTGCAGTGTGCCTCTTACTGTAATCACTTTTTCAGAAATTTTAAACCTTCACCATATGATGTAATCATGCAGCATACAATAGGGGATATCTATCTGCACACCCACTTTATGCATAGTTCACATTACCCAAGATATGAGACCACCTAGGTGTACATAAAGAGATGCATGTAAACCGGGCGCGGTGGCACACGCCTGTAATCCCAGCACTCGGGAGGCTGAGGTAGGAGGATTGTTGCAAGTTCGAGGCCAGCCTAGGCCACAAAGTGAGCTCAATGCCAGCCTGAACTGCATAGCGAGACTGTCTCAAAAAGACAAAAAAAAAAAAAAAAGAGATGCATGTAGAAAAAAATGTGGTATATATACACAGTGGAGCATTATTCACCCATAAAGAACAAAACTATGTCATTTGCAGGCAAATGGATGGAACTGGAGATCTGGAGATCATCATATTAAATGAAGTAAGGCACCTCAGAAAGACAAGTATCAAATGTCTTCCCTAATACTGTATGTGGAATCTAAACAAGAAAGCGTGAAAGTAGAAGAGAGACTATTATTAGACAAGGTAAACAAAATAAATGGGTGGGGAGAAGGGGGTGCAAGGAAGGATAATGCAAGGATAGAAAAACGGGTTATTAATTATATCATTATGAGATCATGATGTCGACATGAATTTGATGAGCTGAAAAGGTTTCTAGTATACTCTATTAAGTGAAACAGTATGTTACAAAACAGATATAGCTCTGTTTTCATGAGAAGCCACTTTGAAGATATCAATATGTAATACAACCACCATTGTTAATTCCCTACCACTTTGTTTGTAACTCTGTATTGTCTGTATTGTGCTTGTGATATGTTGTAAAATGTTGTATGTCTGTTAATGTTTCCCTCCTTTTATCTTTAAAATAAAAAAAAATCTATATGTTTAAATAAATTCCATGTAAAGGAAAAAAAACAGATATAGCATTAACTAATTTTTTATTTTGAAAAATGCATTAATATATAGAGGTATCAAGAGGTCATCTAGAATACTGTTCACTCAACTGTCTTAATCTGTTTCTGGGAGTGAGATGCTGAACACATTTTTCTTTTTCTTTAAGAGTGTTTTTTGACTTGTGTTAAAAAATATTCCTAAGTGGAGGAAATTAAGAATTGCTGTAAATATGAGAAGAGGTGGATATGTTAATTAGCTCAATTGTAGTAATCATTTTACAATGCGTAAGTATCTCAAAACATGATGTTGCCATCTGGAATATGGATAATTTTGTCAATTATAGTTAAAATGGAAAAATGAGTGATACATATAAAGGTAGAGATAAAACGTTTTTATATACAATGCCACTATAGACTTATAAAGCCCAAAGAAGTCATTTAAATGGTTATAATGAGTTTAAGGTGACTAGAGTCACCACCAATATAGAAAAATGCATAGTATTCCTGGTCCCCAAACATGAGCACACATGAAAATCACTTGGGAAAGCTTTAAAAAACATTGATACCCATAACTCATCCCAGAAATATTTGCCTCAGAATCTCTAGGGGTAGGATTAGACATTAATATTTTATAAAGTTTCTGAAGTGATTTCAATGTGTAGCCAAGTAGAGACACCCACTATTAATTATTTTAATTATTTAAATAGCCAAAAATGCTATACAAAAACTGTAAGCACAATAATATCTGCAAATGGGAAAAGAAAGGCTGCTGTAAGGGAACAGGAGTTCAGAAGAGGAAACCTAAATGGAAATGTAGTTATCTACTGGGCAAATATATCCAGTCCATTGCAGTTTAAAATGAGCAGCAGTTAATACCCAAGCCAGTAGAGAGGCACATGACCCATGGCCACAACAGATTGATGGCAGTGAGAGTCCCTGTCCAAGTGCTGTTGAGTCCCTATTCAAATGCATGAGAATTTAATAGAGGCTGAAGTACTACAGGATTAGCTGCATGCCTGTATAAAGCTATATGTGAGATAAACTACAAATATAATTTCTAAGTCAAAGAGTACGTGCTTTTTTTCCATAATGGGAATCAAACCCAGGGCCTCCCACATGCTAGCCACATGCTCTACTACTGAGCTATATCCTCAGCCCACGGTATATACCCTTAAAAGTGAGGGATTAATTTTAAAAGATCTTAAATAGAAATAACATGATGATAGGATAATCAAAATATTGTTCTGCATAGGTAAGAGTGAACCTCCCCCCGCAACTCACAGTCATCATACACAATGTCCTCACCCTACCAGACCCTAACACAACAGGCATTGCCAGGGCTCCTAGTAATCTCTGTCCTGACCATGGAATTTCTCTTTCAAGTCATTCCCCATTTGAACCATTCTAACTCTTTACTTGCTTCACAAATCTTTTACCATCAAAAGCTTTTCCAGACATTTCTGTTTAATATTTCATGTCTGTTTTTTTTTCATCCAAATAGCTGGTCTGCCAATTATAAACCCAAAGTAGTTCTAAATCACATTCTAGATCAAAGCACCTTTTTTGCAGATTGAACCTAGGAAGTACTGAGCTATATACATACCCCCACTCCTTTAATTTTATTTGAGACAAGGTATCACTTAAATTGCTTAGGCTGGCGTTGAACTTGCAATCCCCTGCCTCAGCCTCCTGGGATCACAGGCCTGTACCACTGTGCCTGGCAAAGATCTATTTTCGACTATGGTTTTTAAGCCGTCCTGTTTATTAAACTTTAGTATGTAATTTAAGATGCTTCTTCCACAATGTTTTTCCTTCTATTTTCAATCCAATCACATCATCTCTAAATTTATATCATCCTCCTAAACACAAGCATGCTTCATTCATTCATTCAACAAATACTTGCTGGGCATCTACTGTCCAGCAGTGATTTAGGTCCTGTGGATAAAATTCTTGCCCTTAGAGAGCTCAGGAAGAAAAAGCAGGAGTACGTTGAGGCAGGGAAGACAGGCAGCCAATCAAACATTTATATGTAGAGTAGCCAGATGCTGATAATTGATATGAAGAAAGTAAAGCAGGACACAGTGATTCCAGAGTGTGGTAACTTATAATTTTCAGTTGAAGGTGTCATGAAAGCCATCACTGATAAGGTAATTTTTGGAACCTGAAGGAGAAGGACAGGAACCAAGTAGATTTCTGGCAGAAGAGGATTCCAGGCAGAGGGAGTAAGTACAATGGTCCAGAAGCAGAAATATTTTTGGACTGACTGAGACACAGTCAGGCCAGTCGATGTAAGGGTGAGCAACACAAAATGAGTGGATTATGTTATTCTTAGTTTAGAATACACAAGGTCACTGAATAGTTTCACTTAACTTTAATATTCAAAGAACCTTCAAGCTGGAAGTTATCACATATCCAAGAGTAACCCTGCTATAATGCATGACTGAGGTACAGGAAAGAGCCTCACCATCAACACTGGCAGGCAGCAAGTTCCAGAGATTATAACTGTGGAAAACACACGGTGCTGTGGAGGAATAATGTCACCATGGAGCTGTCTAAGGGTGCTGGGGCACCTAACTTCCAGCCTCCTACACCATCTGCCTTCATTTCCTTCCCTTTCTTTCCAAAAACTTTTATTCAGAATACCAGAGAAAGTTTCTTCACTTTATAAGGTAAAATAATGTAAAAGATTTGCGTTATTTACAAAACATTACTGGCCAGATGCGGTGGTACACGCCTATAATCCCAGCACTCTGAAAGCCTGAGGCAGGTGGATTGAAAGTTTGAGCTCAGCCTGGGCAATTTAGTAAGACTCTCAAAATAAAAAATAAAAATGGCCAGGAATGTAGCTCAATACAAAGGCCTTGGGTTTAAGCCCCAGTACTGCGCACACACATATACAAAGTATTACCAGAGCATATCTGTCTCATCAAGTGAAGTCTATCATGTCAGTTTATACTGACTGCTAATCTGCTTTATCTTCTATATTAAATTATGTTTCCCATTCCAGAAATGCCACACATACTGCAACTACAAAATATGGCTTGGATAACTGGTATTAATACTAGTTTTCAAAGCATATGTTTTACACTCAGACCAAAAGCTGATACTTGACCTAAACCTACACATCAGAGACACACACACAACCCTGCTTTGACAATATCCAACGGTCAACCTAAAGTATAGCAGATTCGTATCAAATGACTTAAGAAATCATCTAACTATATCTTTGGCATAAATTTTTAGATTGATCCAAAAATAATTTTACCACAGAGCTCAGCAATAAAAACTGACTGAAGAGAAAGTAAAAACTATTTAAAAGCAACATAAAGACTAAATATGGCCATCCCAATTTAGCATTACAGTCATCGTAAATGATGTAGCAATAAATCAGTTAAAATTCAGAATCACATTACTTACCTGGAAAATACACTTTTCCTTTACTTCACTGTTTTCTCCAGTTTCCCCCACCATTTATGCAGCCCAGTTCACATCTTAGGTCACTCAGTTCTACAGCTGCAGTTCAGTCCTATAAAAGAATCACCATATCATCATTTCATGAAAAGAGAAAGCATATTCTAGGAAACTGAGCTGGCCAATCTGATTAGCCAACTTTCCTAATTCATTCTTATAACTATTCAAAAAAAAAAAAGGTGGTGAGGATAAAAAGAGGTTGCAAGATACAAACCAGTACCTTATAACTATTAAAAATTTAGAAGAAACTAGAATACATTCATGGAAGCAAGGTAAAGTGAATTCTCTCTGACAACAGAAGAACATAATTCATCAAAATCTGTAATTTTAACACTTTTTTACCAATAATTTTCTATCCCTCCCTCCTAGCTAGATGTGAGGTGGCTTGGCAGAAATGATAAAATTATGTGTGGCCTTGGTACATTAAACACCTTGAAACATTACAAAGGATCAGGACTATGAACATCTGCGAATGTAATCAGTTTGCCCCTCAAAGAAAAAGCATCTTTATAAAGGCAACCTTCTACACTGCTGGTAGAAATGTAAATCAGTATACCCCTACAGAAATCAGTACAGAGGTTCCTCAAAAACTAAAAATAGAAATACCATTTGACCCAGTTACACCACTCCTTAGTATATACTCAAATTAAAGTCAGCATATTATAGGGCAGTGATGGTGAACCTTTCAGAGCTTTCAGTGATAACAAACAGCCTGCTGCAGCATGCATGCCATAGGTTCACCACTACCGTCATACGGATACCAGCACACCCAAGTTTATTGTAGCACAACTCAAAAATAGTCAAGATACAGAATCAGTGTAGGGGTCCATCAACAAAAGAATGGGTAAAGAAAATGTGGTATTGTACATATAAATACAATGGAGTATTATTTAGCCATAAGGAACAAAACTTTGTAATTTGCAGGAAAATGATTTAACTGGAGTTCATCATGTTAAGGAACGAAACTGGAGATCACTGTGTTAAGTGAAATAAGCCAAACTAAGAGAAACAAATATCAAGTGTTTTCCCTATTGGGATATTTTTTAAAAAGTGAATGGAAGTACAAACGAGATTGCTATTAGACAAGATGAAAAGAGTAAGGGGGAGAAGGGTGTAAGAGAGGGTAATTGAGAATGGATATGATCAAAATGTGTTATATATGCATATATGAGAATACCACATTGAATTCCAATATTTTGTAATATCAATAGATACTAAATAAAACTATACTTTAAAAAGTATCCTTTGCCAATGTAGTTACTAATTAACACTCTCATCTCACATTTTTAACATATATTTATCTATTTTTACATTGTGTGTCAATCTCCATTCTAAGATCTTATAATTAATCCTTATAATACTCTTAGTGGGTAGATTCTATTATTCTAATCACCCAGATGAGGAAACTGAGGCACACAAAAGTTAAATAAATACCCAAGGAAATGTACTATGTGCTGTATTTCTTTTCACAGGCAAGAGTACCAGAGTAGAAGTAATTTTATAGTAATACAAAGTCTCATCTATCTTTTCACTTTCTTTTACTGTTGTCCTGGTATACCTAGTTAAAGTCGCTTAGTATCTAGTTAACTGTCATTGAAATTTTTTCTTAATTCATAATTTATTGAATAATCTTCTAATTCTCCACAATTTAAAACTTACCTTTTCTTACTAAAAAAATTATCATGGCTGGGCACAGTAGTTCAGGCCTTTAATACCAGCTACTCAGGAGGCTGAGGCAGAAGGATCCTAAGTTCAAAGTCATTTGGGCAACTTAGCAAGAGTATGTCTCAAAATAAAATTTTACAAGGGCTGAGAATGTAGTTCAACAGTAAAGCTCTTCCTAGCATGTGTGAGGCCCTGAGTTCAATCCCTAGTACTGAAAAAATATTATCTTATGAACATCTTATAAACAAAAAAGAAATCTTTCTAATGCTGTGAAAATCAGAAGCAATAATTATTTTGCAGAATACTGTCTTCACCCGTTATTTAAGATTATTACATTTCAAATATTTTGCTATGCATACCAGATTCTCTTATCACTTTAAAGTCCCAAAGGCCTTGCTCAAGCAAGGTTTTACTTTCTAATTTCATTTATTAGAACGTGATGCTAATGATGTCAAAAGCTACGGGCTCAATCCACCTGACTGCTTAAGTGTTACCTGCTTCACATTTACAGACTCAGCCTAGATGGCATAACTTGGGTCATAAGAGGAATCAGTGGGAATATCCAAAATGAATAGCATAAATATATCTTCTGGAAAAAGAAGTGCCAAAAAAACACAGCCACATTAGCCTCACCATTAGAAGGAAGGGAGGGAGAGAGGAAAGGAGGGGGAGAGGGGTGGTCCATGACCAACAGCAAAGCACTTCTACCTTTCTGAGTGAGAAGCCCTTCTCAATCTCAGATCCTTTACCAGAATAAAACCTAAAGATTTTCCTTCAAAAACAATCAACCAAACAAACAACCAAGCAAGCAAAGCAGGTATACATTTTTAAAAGAAATTAATGTTTTTAAGTTTTGCACAAATTCTGCTTGATTGATCTGAAAATATCATTTTCCTAATCTTGATGCCAATTCTACTAACAATAAAAAACATTTACCATGGTTTTTTAAAGTGTCACAGAAATTTCTACCGGTGCAACACAGAAAATCACCAGAAAAATATGACTGCAATTCCATAAGTATTTCTTACTAAGATTCTTTTAAAGTTACCATAAATTTTCATAAAACCAAAAATTGCTCTATTTCCAAATAATATGAACTTATCTTAAACATGCTTTTTCAAACTAACTGAAGAAACTAAGTAGTATCAGATCTGCTTACATTTTAAGATAACATATGGCCCATTCAAGTAGGTTTTCGCAACACATAAAAATGAAACAGCAAAACTGCGTTCCTCAGCTGTTACTGTCCAGAGAAACCCACCTGGGGTCATCTTCAAGATTTCCTGCCCACAGCTAGAAAGAACTTCCCAGTGTACTAACGCTACAAAACCCATGGGTTCCAACAGTCACAAAGTAACTATGACAGCAAAGGCAGAGTTATTTGTGAGATCACATGATCTGATGTAATTTTTTAAATTGAGGTAAAATTCACATATCATATTAACAATTTTTTAAAATGGCATTTAGAACATCACAATGTTATATAACCAATTACCTCTACTTTGTCCCAAAATAAAATATGGTACTCATTAAGCAGCCACTTAACAGTAGTAACAGCATAGAATTAACTAACTAAAAGTTCATAGGGCTTCATGGTTATACTAGTAAAAATCGAGGGCTAGGGCACCAGAGAATGAAAACATAAAATCTGAAGGTTAATCAATGGAAGATTATGTGGAGGAGGGAAAAGTGCGATAAAGAATCCTGATGAGGGCTCCCCACAGACAGTGCCTGCCCCTTGGCAGGACTCTGTACCACTGGATTCTGCCCCATGGCTGAGGCCATCCACAAACGTCAAGCCCATTATGTTTTGTTTCCCTTCAATACTGGGCAGCAGAGGTACTGACCAACAAGCCAACCTGATCACAGATGAGGCCAGTGCCCTGGGAGAAAAGGTAAGCGTGGGAGAGTCGATAGCCCCAGGGGGAAATAACAGACCTGGCCTACAGCACTAGCCCCTAAAAAAGCCAATGGAGAAAATGATGACTTGCTGGATCCCATGACTACAGATCCTGGAAAGAAGCCACTCTTGAAAAACACAAAGGAATTCTAATTTTCTTTTCTTTTTTCCTCTTGTTTTTCTTCCATCAGTTTTTTGGGGATTTTGGGATTTGTTCTCTTTTTTCTGTTACTGTCACCTAATACTACTAATTTCTTTTTACTCCTCAATAGGATTCCCTATATCACTTTTCTCTCTTCCTCATCTTCCTTTGATTAACAACGCAAATTATACTTTTCTTACCCCCACCCCCTCTATCTCTACTACTAAATCATGAAGTTTTGTGAATCTCTAGATAGTAAGTTAACTCTGCTATTAGTGTTGAACATTGTTCTATTGTCAGTGGAGGTAAAATTATTCTGTTTAGTAGATATTTACTATAGCTAAATATTTGGCTTGTCTTAGTGTTTAAACTAAACTACTTATACATCTCTTTTCTATGGTTAAGGGTGGTACACTATTGGTTCTCTTTTTTTTTTTTTTTTTAATTTTTTTTTTTGTTTTTTTTTCGGTACCGGGAATCAAACTCATGACCTTGCACTTGCCAGGCAGGTGCTGTGCCGCTGAGCTAAACTCCCAGCCCTGGTTCTTTTTATTTTAAAGAGAGGGGCTGGGGATTTAGCTCAGTGGCACAGCGCCTGCCTGGCAAGCGCAAGGTGGTGAGTTCTATTCCTGGTACCGGAAGAAAAGATAAAAAAAAAGAAAAAAGAAAAAAGAAAAACAAAATTCCAAAACAAGATAATAGGTAACAATGGTTAATACAATGTGTATTGTCATCTTTAACTTAGTTACTAAAAGATAGAAGCATTTAATTGTCTAAACAGTATTAGCACAAACCTTTCTTTTCAATGAACTAAGAGAAATTAGTAGTATAACTATCTTAACTATCTTGT